TTCTGATTGATTCAAAGTCAATAGAATTAACTCATAAGAAAAATAAACAAAAAGAAATTATTTTTTCAAAATTTAAAATTTGTCAAATACTCACTCCTAAAGAGTGGGGACAACATTTATATCATTATCGTAGATTTATGATAAATTATCAGCCTCCACAATATAATTATTTTGATTACATAAAAGCTTGGGAGAAATTCTTATTTCTTCGACCAGACACCCATTCCTGATTCATTTGGTTCCGGAAAGGGATTTTCTTACATTTTCTAAAATGGTTTTCAGCTTGGTTCAACAATTTTGGGCCAGTAACACAAATATTATCAGAAAGAGCTCAAATATCTCTAGCTCACTTCAAAGAAAAACCACTTTTCCAGAACCGTATAAATTCATTTCTTTCATAGCTTTACAAGGGATATCATAGATCATGATGTGACAATATGATTCTGCCAATCTAGATTATGATTCATCTATACAATTATTAATCAGGACCATAAAAGTTAAGTGGTGGGTTAATTATGATCTAGATTTACTCACTACAGGAAAAATTACCCAGTGGATACAAAATAATGTCCAACATCCTCCTTTGAGTGAGAATTTGATAAAGGATAAACAGAAGCAAGCCTTTTTACAACAAAAAGCCAGATTTCTAGCTAGCCTGAGTACATCTGGAAGTGAAGAAGAATTCAAGAAAATTATTGAGACCATATCTCCAGAGGTTACCAGCATATCCTCTGACAAAGACAATAGGAGAAGTCTTAGTCCAGCAGGAGATGACGACTATGGCTATTTTGACAATGAAGACGACTGCTATGGAATCTCTGTAACAAGATCTGATTAAAAGCAAGAAGTAAAAGACAATAGACTTGACAAAAGCAAAAGGAGATTTGACAAAAGTAAAAAAAGATTTGACAAAAGAAGAAATTATTGCCAAAAGAAATCTAAGAATAAGAATTTTCTATCCTATAAATTGTAAACTCTGCTTCATTTGAAGAGACGAGCAAAAAATATCAGCCCTAATAGTTCTAGGAAAAACCTCTCACTGTAAAGTTTCAATTTCTTTCTTTGAAGAATTTACAAGAAGTTTGACAACAATATTATAAGTTTTATCAAGTTTTTAATATATTCATATTTTCATCAAGTTTTCATTATTCATCATGTTGTTTTATCATGTGAAATCAGAACAATATATAGATCCTCACCACTTTGGTATCAGAGCCTAAACGGGTTCTGATTTCAGAGAGGAGAGAGAAAGTAAAAGTTATTATGCCTTTCTACATATATAATTTTGGAGAAATAGAATTTTACCATCCTGTTGATATTACAAGATGAAACTACATGATGAATAATGAAAACTTGATGAATATATATATATATATATATATATATATATATATATATATATATATGAAGCATAATTTTTTATATATATTATAAACAAACTTTACTAAGGTAAACAATAACTATTGTAATATATCTAAAACTTAGTTCTTAATAGAATTAAATATTATATTTATAAATAAAATAAAATATTAAAAATAGACTATTATTGATATACTCATTTAATATAATATATTATTAAATTTAATAAATGCTTATTAAACGTATGGCCAATGATGTTAAGAATTATTTTAAAATTGTATTAGAACTGTGTCTATAAATGTTTATTTTAGAATTTTAATAATAATAATAAACATACATATGCTTAACAAATAAAAATAATAATAAAATGGCAAATTGACATGGGATGATTTTAAGTATAGATATTAATAGATATATGAAAAGTTTAAAGCTTAACGCTATATTTTATAAAGGTGATAAAATTGTGTGATTGATGAACTTATAAAAATATTTATTTGATTTTTTTGCATTTGTGTTAAAATATTTTATAAAATTTAAATAAATTACTTTTTAATCTAATTAATTGGAGTCTTAATACTTGTAAGATAACACCTATTAATTACTCTAATAACTTAATCAATTATCTCGATAATGCTTTTGAGTATTTGTTGAGAAGACCTAACTTAATTGATTAGGACTAGGAGATTGTGTTTAAAGACCTAAATAATTAGAGATCTTCTAGAGTTTGCAAGATCTAGCATTTATGTTAGACTATTAACGTTTTTAATGAGAAACTTTCTTTTTTTTTTGTTTCTATTTGAATTCAAATAATTTTTAATAAATTTTAAAGCGACTTTTTGGAGTTTGTCAATAAATGAAAAACACATAGAAAAGGTCATATAACAATATCTTATAAAAAAAATTTAATTTATATTTCTCTTGAATTGTTATTTATACCTTTTTCTTATTTTATTTTGTATTATTGACTTTTGTGAGAAGCTTCTTCAATTTTATTTTATTTTTTGTTAATTTGTGAGAAGATGAAAAATTCTTAGTGTAAAAGAATTAAAAAACTATTAAAAAAAGTTTTAAATTTAAGTTTTCTATCTCAAAAGTTATAATTAGATATTATACAATGATTATAATGAAAAATCTTAAGTAAAGCTTAAGAGTTGGATGTAAGATATGAGTATATGGTAGTTAAAGTAGGATAAATCGAGTTTGCACTTTTTTATCCTACTATGTTTATTTTTGTTGTGTTTGGTTAGTTCTAAAAAACTTTAATTATTTTCTCATGGTTATCCATTTATTCAATTTTAAGATTTTTTTTAAAAATGTAACATCATTATTTGGCAAAAACTTAATTGTGAAACATTTTCAAAAACTTAAAAACTTAATTCACTTTTTTTAAAAAAAATTTATAACAATTAAGTCTTATTCCATTTTGTGAAGTTAACTATGCGAATCACACAATGCTATTAAAATTGATAAAAACTTAATTTTTAAGATATTATTTATTATAATATCTCTTAATAATATCTTTTAAAGTTATCATGGACCCTTATCTATCTTTTTTATCAAACTAAAAATCCTTTTTTATATATTTTCTTCAATAGATGTTATTATAATATTTATAAAAATAATCATTTATTTATTTTAACATTCTCATTTTTATAGTTTTTACTTTTTTTTTGTATTGTTCATTTAAAGTCCAATATTCAATATTATAAAGGATAGTTAGTTGCATAACAGTACAATAAAACTTTTATTTCTGTTTGATAGGTATTTACTATCATAAATAAATTTTAATATTTTTTTAATTTAACCACATAACTTATATTCTATGAACAACATTTTAATTAATTTCTTCATCATTTTATAAATTAATTCCTGTCCTGTAAGGGATATACTTGTCTTCTGTGATCTTTATCCTTATCCTTTGTTATGACGTCTTTGTTGAATATTTTAAATTCTTCTTGAATGTAATGGGGGATGGTACCTGCAAAGACACTCCAATGGTAAAGTTAGTGTTCGGTATAGAGTAATAAATATTATTAAATATTTTAAAGTCAATCCTTTACCTGTCTTTTTTTACTTTCTTTTTATAGACGTAATATTGGGCTAGTGAGCTTGATGAGTCAACCCTAGGTTAACCTTCTGATTACTTAGGTAATTAACCTCTTCTTTATTAGTTTTTTACCCTAATTGACTCATTAATTTATTTTGATATGATTGAAGGGGTGAAAGTACCTCTCGTCCAGGAGTGTGACTGAAGGAGTATTGGTACCCTTTGTCCTGAAATGAGATTGAAGGAGTTTGGTACCCTTCGTTCAGGGGTGAAGGAGTGAGGCCGAGGGGATATTCAATATCCTTTTTCTGTAGAAATGACCAAATAGTATCTTTATCTAGTGCAATTCCAAATACTTAAAGTTGGAAACATGTGGTATTACATCATCCTAATTTTAACTTACAATGTATAATTATCATATTATTTGTTGTTAAAATTATAATAATTATTTTTTAATCCTACTCAATTAAAAATCAATAAATTCCCAACTTTGTTTACAAAACTCAACTTTAGATTTAACTTTTTCTTTTGATTCTTCGATCGTAACTATGTCATACGCAAAAAAAACATATATTTAGAGATATTTTTTATATGTTACTAGTAAGCACATCTAAGACAAAGTTAAGCAAATAAAAACTTAAAGCAAACCTAGTGTAAACTAATGAAAAATTCTAAGAATTCTCATATTTGTAGTAATCTCATCATACATGGTCTTACATAAATAACATATATGCCACACAAATCATTTTATTTTTTAAAGTCTTCCAAAGCACCTTTATTTATTTATTTATAGATAATCATATTTTTTTCAAATAAAAATTAAAATTATATGTACATTTTTTATATCAATACTTTTTTATTAGTTTTAATATATATATATATATATATTATTGGAAACTTTTTTACTAAAATAAAATTAATTTTCTATGATTTTAGTTTCTTCTTTTAGTTCATGTTTAATCATTTTTATTATTATTTTATACTGTTTCATAAATTTTATTCTTTTATAATTTAAACAATGTTGAATGTTGGTACTCGTCCAACAAATTTTTAATCTCGTGGATGAACTTAAAAAACTAACATACAAAAGTATACAAAGTTTAAAGAAAAATCTTTGTTATTTCTATTATTATTTAGAAAAAATTAGTTTATGGAACATATTTTAAAATAACAAAATTCAAAACATTTTACTGTAATGCATGCATACACAAGTATAATTGAGACGTGTTAATAACACGTGATCCAACATTGTACTTGCATATTTATTTAATTTGAGTAATACATATTTAATTAATTTCAAATTTTTTTAAATATATACTTTTTAAAATTAATAATCTTACCATCCATCCTTTAGTTGTTCTTAATTTACACAAAATTACTTTTTTTAAAAAAATACATATGATGTAGAAAAAAAGAAGGAAGTTTCAAATGAATTTTACATATTCAAAAATATTTTTTATTTTTTAAAAAGATTTATAATTATAAACACTATCCTGTTTTTCGAAACAAAAATGTGAAACTTAACTTCCTATCCCCAAATAAAGTATAAAGATGAAGAATCCCTAGGAAAGTCACCTAATGACTTCAACAAGTGACACATAATTTTATGTTTTAATACACATTCATGATGGTAATAACATGATCCTCTCTCACATAATTGGGGTACATTAGACATGCTTGTTGCACCTTATACTCATACAAAGTATTAGTAATGCCAGATATTGTAGCATATATTTTCTCATTATTTCATCTTTCTTAAGAAAATATCCTGTGGCTATTCAGAGCTGAGCAGAGTTATTGGCAATTGCCCCAGCATCATTGAGAAGTGGAACAAGTTGGCCTGCGCTGTGTTTCCCCAAAACAGCTGTAAGATACACACCATATAAAATGTTATATACAAATAAAGAAAAAACAAAACAATAACACGACTAGTTTGGTCTTCCCCTTATGAAAAAGATCAAAGAATAATGCTATTTTAGCCTTACTGTCACAGCCACCAATGTGCTTTCCTCCAATAAATACGTTAGGCACAGTCCTAAGCCCTGTCCACTGAGCTAAAGCTGATTGAATATCACCTCCATCACCTTCAATAATAAGGTAAAGAAAATTTAATAGGAAAAGGAAACTAACTAAACAAGGCATCATACAATTAATAGCTAAATAGTTTCTTAAAAATAATGTGCCACAACCCTTCTGGTAGAGGATAATAGACCCCAGTTGTGCATATAATGAGGGATAGTCAGACTTCGCATTTTGCATATTCCACGTTCATGCATGCGTATAATTATGATTTTAATCGTTAATTTTCCCATCAATAATTCTAACTCTTTACCTTTATCTTTAAAGAAAACCTCTTTACTTTACAAAAGTCAAATGACATAAAAAAGTGATATAAATATATTTTTAACACTTTCTTTTTAATATTTTTTTAGTTATTATTTAAATTTATTAAAAATTATAAAATATGGATAAAATTTATTAAATTAAAAGTAAACTCATACAATTTATGTAATTCTTAGTAAATTATACTAATTAATAATAAAAAATGTATTTAAAAATTATTAAAAAATTTGGTATGACCTCTCTCATCCCACAGGGAGAGTAGCAAAACACTGAGAATGATACTCAACAATAATCAAAGAGCAAAGTAACTCTCAACTCAAGACAATTTTATAACATTAAATTTGCTATAGTGCATAAAACATCATAGGTGCTAAGAACCAATCAAGTCACAGTTACGTCAATCTAAAACTAACTATCTGGAAAACTTGCTGGGTCAGAAAGTGCAATAACACCCGACAAGACCAAAACGAGGGCAACAGAAGCAAGTCCTTCACATCACATCAACTTGGAAGTAAAACACCATTGACATAATGTACCAAGTCCAACCAAACATGAATTCAATTGAGAGAGTATCTCAGAGTATTCATAGCACCCTTACTTTCAGTGTCCAATTCAATGACTTTGTAGGCTGCTCCTAGCTGTTTCAGGAGATCTTTGACCCGATTGCAGTAACCACAGTAAGTCTTACTGCCATCACCCAAATTATTACATCATGGAATTATTTAGATGAAAAAATAAAAATAAAACTCAGTTTTTTTTCCCTTTAAAAAGTAAAAATTACTGAAATAAATTTTACCTCTTCTAATAATGTCTTCTTCGTACACAGCAACTAAAAATTGAACCTTGATTAATATGTCCGATTTTATTAGTAAAGGACACATTTAATTGAGCTCATCACGAGTGTTTATTTATCCAATAAAGACTTATCGGATGAAATTTATGTGGTAAATACTTAACAACTATTTTTTATTTTTTGTGTGAACTTATAAATGTTCCGATGATAAATTACCTAACAGCTTTGGGTGGAAAGAAATGGACGGAACCAGAGAGATTTTTATAACATATTTTTTTATATTTGATTCAAAATTTTAAAAGGGAACAAAATGCGTTATCTTTCTTCTATACTTAATTTTAACTCCTCTTCCAACCGGATAATTTAAAAGGGGAAAATTATAAATTAATAATACAAAACTATCCTTAAATTCATAATTTTATTTAATCGTCCTAAATAAACCACCAAACAGCATGTTTTGAAAAGAACAATAATAACAAACATCAGCACTTAGACACAACTTAGTGATGAACCTAAAAAATTAAATCCGAAAATGCACAGAAATACCACTATTACCACCCAATTTGTTTTTGGAAACCAACCTAATTCAAAATTAGAATTTTATCAATGAAACATTTTACATGCAAAAGGCAGATTAGATTGAAAAGAAAAATACCTGAAGACAATGGCAGGGGCGGAGGATGCTATCTCCTTAGCCTTATTCAACGCTGTTTCCATCTCTTCTTTGCTCATCGGCTTCTGCGAACTAAACAAAGCACCCATTTGCCTACCTGCGTGCGTATATATATAATTATACAATAATTGCAGAGAAAGCTTTATGCTTTGGGAATGGACAAGTGTTGGAAGAAAAGAGAACTGAGGCAAAAACAGAGCACAGGTGTTGAAATTCGCAGATGCTTGCTGGCACAGGGTTTGATCCAGAGCAAAATAACAAAAACTTGAAAGCAGTAAATGAAGGTTAATTGTTTAATTGGAAAACCAGAGGAATCGTGGGGTTAGGGTTCGGTTTAAGTTGGCTTGTGCGGTGAATTCGTGATCGGGATAAGTATCGTGTTTGTCGTCGGTTGAATAGAGAAAACGACAGCGTCGTCTACCCTGATGAAATGGTATGCTTTGCAAATTGACGTTGGTACTTGGTAAGATGATGATTCGCGTCTGCGTGACTCGTTGTTTTATGCTTAAAGTTAATCTAGCTCGAATTTAAGCATTAAAAAATTATTTTTTTTATCAAAAAATAAAATAAAGTAGTTATAATATTAAAAATAGAAAATATAATAAATATTTTATTATTTATTTAAATTAATTTTAAGATTTAAAGTTAAATTATTTTAAATTAAATTTTCATACTAAAATATGTACTTTAATGCAAATTTATAGTTAAAATTAGTTTCAATAAGTATTTTAATTATAGAAAATGTAAACAAGTTTTCTTAAAATACTAATTAAAAATTATGTTTTAGTAAAAACATAAAACAATATATATATATATGATTTGAGTGTATTTCAATGGGATTTTCAATAAAAAATTATTATTTATTAATTTCTTAACTAATATCTTAAGATATTGATTAACAAAAAAATTTTAAATTTATTTATAATTAATTTTATTTGAATTTAAATAAAATATCTTATTTAATTCTTCTTTTAAGATCTATTTAAAAAAATTTATAAACTACTTATAACAAAAAATATGACTTTTCTAGACTCTTTTTACCTTCTTTTAATAAATTTTATTAACTAATTTATAATATAAGTTATTGTTTAAAAAAAATATTGGATAAACACTTAAATAAGTTACATATTTAAACATATTTTTAATAATGGTCACTAATGTCATTGTGTGTTTGGATGTGTATAATTAAAGAAATGTATGAATATTTTACAGTGGGATCACTAATTTTGTTGTTTCTCTTGAAAGTTTGTAAGTGGAATAGTAAATAATCATTTATAGAAAATTATTAGCAACAAATATTTCTAACACATATTTTATTTTTGTTTAAAATTTATTAAAATTATAAAAAAAATGTAAGTTATTTAATAAAAACTTACATAAGTTTTGTAATTTTTAATAAATTTTAATCAATAATAAAGAGTGTGTTGTAAAATATGTTGTTAGTATTCATCTTATTGATATTATAACATCTTAATTTTCAGTACCCTGATTTGCTGAATTTTGATAAAAATTTTGTCAAAATTTTAAAAAAATTAAATTATTAGGAATTAGTTAAAGTAATTTTAGAGTTTTATATTCACTAGATAATTTGTGATTTTCTAAAATTTTTAAGAAATACTCAAAATTGGCCTATTTTGCTGGCATCTTAGCAAAATAAAAAAAGAAATTTACATTTGCAAAAGTGTAATTTTTAAGTTAAAAATGATAAAGTAATTAAATTTTGACTTTTAAAAGTGATTAAGAAAGAGAAGATGCATGAAAAATAATCTTCTTCTCCAACAAGCTTCCCGTAAGTTCTTTCCTCTATTTTTCTTTCAAATACTCTCACTTTTAAGCTTGATTTTGAGGGTCAAACTTTGATTTTCTTGAGAAGTTTCAAGAGGTAAATTTGTTACCCTTATCCTCCTCTACACTTATATGGTTTTATTTTTCAAAATGGTGCTTATTTAATTTTCTCTTCTTACTTGGATGAACTTGAATAAGAATGGGAAGGGTGTTATCTTACTTTTATTGTTGAGGTTTTACACCTAGGATACTAGAATCATGCTTGAAATGGAGGATAAGAAGTGGTTGAGCTAAAAACCTAAATTCACAGGTCACTGTTCACTAAATTTTGAGACTTGTATGGACTAAATTGGGAGTTTATGTCTTCATGAAAGTTGCAATCCTTTTAATACTTGAAATTTAGCCATTGGTTTCACCTCAAACGGATATTTATAGCTCAAGTTATGTTCATTTTACTAACAGGTGTTCTAGCTATCACCTTAGGAGGTTTTCCTGTTTCAATAACCATACATTTTGATTTACTGAGACTGATAAGTGTAAAATTAGGACTTTAATCCTTCATAAAAGTTGTAGGAAATTGTATGTCTGAAGTTTATAAATTGGTTTCATGTCAATATCTTATGTGTAACATGAGATATAGTCAAATTACTAAGGTATGTTCAGAGTGTTAGTGTAATTAAGTATTGTCAGAAACAACCACTGTAAATTGAAAACTGACACTATTCTATAGGGTATTTGAACTTAATTCCTTCATAAAAGTTGTATATAAATGAATCCTTGAAATTTAGAAATTAGTCTCATGTTAAAATATTAAGTATATCTTGAGTTATGGCAAAAACACTGAACCTTATGCAATTTGCTCGAAAATTTCTCTATCATGATTTTGACCAACTTTATTGTACAATTTATCTCGAATTAGACTTTGACCTCTCCATCAATATTGTAGATAATTACATTATTGAAATTCAGACTTTGACCTCATGCCAAAATAGTCTATAGAACTCTAGAAAATTTCAAAATACTGAACCTTGTTCATGTTCGCCATTAGGATTATTCCTACTCTAAGTGTGTATCAACTAGGATGATTTTTTTAAAGTTAAGTGTAAGGTGAATGTGAGCTTAACATATTACCAAAAATGGGTTAGCAAAACAAAACGAGTTTAAATTCCCACGAGATAAAATCAGAGAACTATAAGGTTCTAAGTAACATTTCATTACGTGTATAGATTTCGTCGAAAATCAACTTCAAGCGTTGGAGAGAACAAATGTGGATGTAACAGGTAAGGGATGGGTTATGTAGTAAAGATTATATCATAAACTTGTTTAACCTTATTTGTTGAAATTGTCTAAATTTTGTTATGATTGATGATTGTGATTTCTTTATATGCTTAATTTTGATGATGGTTTGCTTATGTGTTTGGTGGTAGAAATATATGTTTGACACTTCATTAAGACATAAATTGTGTTATATGATATGAATTTTCTTTGAGTGAGCATTTATGTACATGGTGGTTTTTATAAATTGAAATGATTGAATGATGGATTGAGAACCCTTATAAACTGTATTAGGAAGTTTTCTGATTGTAACATGTATTTGGAAAATTTTGGGAAGTCCTTATTACAGAGGAAACTCTGTCAAAATTTTGAAAAAATATTAAGACTTAGAAATTTTTTTAATCATTCTCGAACAAATTTAGGAATTTGGGAATATGAGACTTTTCTAAGAAAAACTACTTAGGAACTCATACATTACTCATCCGAAAATGGTATTTTGTGTAAAATGGAGAATCAAAGACTATGGACTCTAGAAATACAATAGGGAGGCCCTGAGGGAGGACTTTGGGATAAAAAGGGTAGTGGTTGTAAGCCCTAAAAGACTCAGGCTCGCTACCTGTCATCAGGGATCCCACTGTACAAACTCTCCTGTACTTGACTGTGCTCTTACCGTATATCATGGTCAGTAAGTACTAGGTTCATATTTGAGCGTGGGTCTCAACAATCCCATGGGTGGATTTCCATACCTATTAGTGTCACTTTTGACTACCCTAGCACTGATTTAAGAAATGATTCGGGCCCTTATGCATGGACATTTTAGAAAAACAAACTAGGATCATGCACCATCATCATCATTCATTTGGAATGCAATTGATATGTGAATGTTTATGATGTTTGATTTTAACGTGATGTATGAATTGTGGCTTACCCTATTGTTTTTCTATTTTCTTTATTTTCTCTGTACCTGTGATACTTATTGGACCTGATCGATTACCATCTGTAGCAAAGGGAGATGGCCCAGATTCCACACGAAATGAATATGACGATCAGGCTCATTAGCCCAGAGTCACATCGATGACAGCACGATTGAGATAGATACACCCATACTTTTGTAGGCATACTTACTATATTTTTTAGGAGAGCGACACCAGAACCCAGAGGTGGTGTCCCTATTACCATAAGGACTAGACTAACGCTTGACTTAGATAATAATAATAATTTTCAGCCCATACCACCACCAATTCCCCCTCCAGCTAAGGAGGAGAAAATGGATATTGATATTCCAAAGGATTATGATCCTTTAAACACCGATGACCCTAGCAACTCAGATGAGGGAGATTCATCTCCTAAGTCTGAAGATATAGATTTGGAGTAGGACCGATACTACTTTTTTTTTTTTTGTATAGTGGCAAAGGTTAGTCGTAGGCATTCTTTTGTTGTACATAGGCCTTTATGGTACTAGATAGAAGCCACTCTTTTTGTTTAGTTGTGCTGCTCTTTAGGAAGTCATTCCTGATATTGCCCTTATTATTCTGAAAAACTGTGACTAATATTTTATCTGTATGTAATTATGTTGCTAGGTAAAATGATAATTGAGTTCTCTAGTATATTGTGTTGTGTAATACGGGGAACTTATTAACCATTTGTCCTTTGTATTACAGTAAAATGATATCTAAACACTTATGAAAGTTTACCTTAAGTACTTTATGCAACGACGAAATTCTGAAATGTGTTATTGAAAATTTGCTTGTTAAAGTTTATTTTTGAGATTAATGGTTTAATACATCGATATTATGTATGAGGAGAAGATTATTAGTATATAAAAAAAATCAAAAATTACTAATTCTCTAATTGAGAGTTTCTAAAGTAGAGTGTTACATATATCATTTAATTTCCTTTTATTTTAACAAGTCCCTTTATTTTAAGATGTCAAACCATGATCATGTATAAGTAATAATAAGTCATTTATTAAAGGTAAATCTAGTTTTATATTATATTTATTTTCTTCTTTTTTATGTTACACTTCATCTAAACTTGAGGAAAATAATTTTTTTTTATTTTTTTAATCTATTTTACTTTATTTTATTTCATCCAAACAATATTAATATTTTTCTTTTATTTTTAATCTACTTTTATCTTTTCTTATTTTATTTTCTCCCATTTTGTACTTTTTAATTCCTTAATCCAAAGAAAGTGTGTAGGTCATTTTTTAAAATAAGAAAAATAACTAATTTTTTTTAATGTAAATATTAGGCATGTTAAATGACTTTTTGACTTATCTTAACCTAAAAAGCTCTATAACTATCAAATTGGATTGGACTTGACAAACTGGCCAACCTAGTTCACCCAAAATGGGTTTATGATCATTTAATTAAATAATTACATAGAACAAGAAAATTTCTCTTCATGTATATTTGAACATGTAATATTTTAAGATATAT